TGTAAACATCCAGTTCTTGATTCGAACCATAAAATGACGATTGAATATCATATGGCATCAATTAGATGCTATTGAAGGTCAAATGAATGAAATAGAGTTGAAGCATTTTGACAAATCTATTTCCAGCCGAAAAAATTGTGCTCCGGATTTTCAGTCTCAATTTGAGACTCGTTTTTAGGATGGAAAACGTTTGAATTGAAAAATTTGTATTTCAGGTTGGTTCATTTTCCAATGCACTTTGAATCACCTCAATTGGAGTTCAGAAGAAAATGGCACTCATGCACCACCTCTTTTTCTCCAACTGGAGAGCAAAATCATTAACCGGTACGCACGCAATGAACTATATAGCGCACGAGCATGGATCAAATTTTCTGTGATTGGCCAGTTTCCTCATTCTGATAAAATTATACATGAAAATAATATCTTGACATCTTATACCTAAACAGCCCAGAATGTAGAGGGACCTCCCTTGACCTAATTTTTCATCATATTATACATATTTTGAGGGCGACGAACGAGGTTGGATCGTCAACATCAAAGGAATTGTACAAGATTCTTGAAGATTATCTATCCAAAATTAAGATTTCATTCAAGAGAGTGGATTTTTCTACCTTCTTCCATATTTTTTTTTATCCGAGTGATGTCTTTTCATTGTTTCTTGTATAATTTAATAATTAGGATGATTGGATAAGTTTTTCATTGTATTGGATGAATGATGAACCCTATTATTTGTTTATTTTAATTCAAGACAATTAATTTAGTATTTCATGATTTTTCTTGATTGGTTTTACATTCCCATTGAACTATTTAATTGATTGATCATCAATTATATAGTAAGTTATTTGTTGTAGTGTAAGAATATTCACAATAAGTCTAAAACGCAGTAAAACCAACACATGGACAATAGGTATTAAGTTAATATCTATGGCATATGCAATCATGTTTGATAAATCCTGTTAATTAATGCATGTTTTTCATATGAATTCAAACTAGAAATAGGATCGGGTCGTGTTAAACATAGGTTTAATATATCTTAAGAAAGAATATTGAATAAAAGTGGATTATTGATTGTCTTGAATAAAAGTGGATAATATATTAAATTATGAATTAAGAGTTAAATTAAATGGCAATGGGGGAATTTACGATTCCAATACAAACATTCATATATTAGATTAATATTTTATTTGCTTTCTTAGTTTATGATTAGTATAGAATACGTACGAAATAACTCTTTTGATTTTATATTACCTTGAATTTAATAAAAGTTATTGAACTAGATATTAGACCTTAGCCCTCGTGAAAACGATACTCTTAACTCACAAATCTTATTACTTGTACAACGAACTCGTACGTTTGTGGGTTTTTAATGAACAAATTTTTGGTGCCGTTACTAGGGAATAACATACTTAATTTTAGTTTAAGTAGTTTATATTATATTTGATTTTTATTTTTATTTTTGTTGATTTTGGCTAACTACCCTGATCTTTCTTATTTGGTATTCTTTCCAGGTGCCATTTAGTAGTGTATGCAAGATTCTAACGCTGGCATTGTAGAATTATTTTTGCAATAATTAATCTCGACATAGACAATGAGAAAGAAGATATATATATTTTGAGTTGTGCTATGGGGTGCATTACACTAGCTACTACTTATATACATGCATTGACCCAGAAAGGCTCAAGCTCCTGCGATTTCAACAATATTTGTGATGTCGAAGATTAGCATTTGACAATACTAATAAATACTACATGCCTGTGGGCGAGTGTGTCCCTTCAGACACGCTTGTAGGAGTTGGTCCTTCCATGCCGAACGTGGAAGTACTTGCAAAATACTAAACTGATGTTGCCAAGTTAGATGAAAGCAAAATGTGTGTGGGAGATGGCATATTCAGGATCGAATTTAAAAGATGGGGGTAAAATTCACTCTAAAAGTTTGAAAGATAAGAGTTTCCATTGCCCGTGGATGTAGATTGTGAACCAGCCATTCAACCTAAGGAGATACCAATTATAGAAGACGTGAACGAAGACGTGAAAGTTCAACTACAAATGAACAAAATGAAGGGGAGGTAATTAATGAAGAAGATGTTAACCCACACTCTGTCAACTTCATTGATTGCCCTGTTATTGAATTTGTAATTAAACCCGAAGAGAAGGAAGAAGTCTACATAGTTGAATTTGAATCGGATGAGATAGGCAAGTCATATAACATTGGAAGGAGCAGTGCTAAAATTTGTAGAAGTAACGAAGAGTGGAGCAAAATCAAAAAGGGCAAACTAAGCAAGGCATCAAAAATGTTATTTAAAATTCCATGATACCGAAACAATAAAGTCAAGCTAAAGACTATAAATAAGCGCTTTTTGTTCTGAGTTCATAATTGTACTTGCTTTGTTTCTGCAATTTGTATTGTCATTAAATAAGGGGACAAGCAACGTTGAACACTTGCATCTACATAGCTCCAAATTATTGAATCTATACTTGATCGAGGGAATACAACTCCAACCAAGTCAAAGATCACACAAACAGTCTCGAAATTATTGTTTCATGTTTATAATTGGTTTAAAAGTACTCGTTCAAGAAGGCTGCAATTGTCCACACAAGCACACAATTCTCTTAAAAGGGAAAAATGTTTGTTTTGTTTTATTGATTGAATTTGTTGTGCTTGAGTTTATCCACATTACTATCACTATATTCCTATCACTTCACTTCGCTACATTACTAGTGTCCTCTCCGTCGATCTCTAAGGAGGAAAGCAATTTTTTAACCCTTCGAGATTTTCCATTTTTTCATCTACGCAGAGATCAGATGTTGTACTTTTGAAAATTTATGTCTTGTAAATGCCTACTTTTCATCAAAATTTGCAATACTTGATTGTAATATTAATGATTTTCAATATATAATACCTGTTTGTTTCCCACTTTTTAGTAAGAATGCATTTTGAAATAGTTAATTAATGAAAAATGTGTGGTTAAGAAATAAAAAAAAGTTTTAGTTTTGTGTGAAAAGAAAAGAGAAAAAAATGTATTTTGAGAAAAATGGGTATCAAACAAATGCATAATAACGTGGTAGCAATAAGAGTCATTAAGTAAAATTTCGTTCTATTCACGAAATGTCATTATAAGATGAGCCTTTATATCCAGAGATCAGATGTTGTACTTTTGAAAATTTATGTCTTGTAAATGCCTACTTTTCATCAAAATTTGCAATACTTGATTGTAATAGTAATGATTTTCAATATATAATACCTGTTTGTTTCCCACTTTTTAGTAAGAATGCATTTTGAAATAGTTAATTAATGAAAAATGTGTGGTTAAGAAATAAAAAAAAGTTTTTAGTTTTGTACGGATTGTGATTGTAGTAGCATCTTATGCAAGTTGAATCTACAGTAATTGCACAAAGCAATAAATGGAATTGAAGAATCATAAAACCACCTTGCCCATACAATATTCGCTCTCTTACAGCTTGTTTACTTAGCTAAACATGCTCTTTAAACTCAGATGAGATCCACGGGTAGTCCCTTGGAGCATAATAGGCTTCAATCCCTTCACTTGCTTTCCTCTTCCCTATTTCTTGCCTTCACTTCCGCAATGATTAATTTATTTCTGGTATTTCCTCATCTTTCCTCTCCTCCAATTTCGAAACCATAGAATCATTCCCAATAGTCAAGTTACGAGCCCCCCTTAACATCTTTTTATTCCTAACAATTCACTGAATTTCAGCGAAACATTGTCACAAAACTTTCTTACATTGAGATACTTACCTTCAAATCTTGCAAGATGATAATGTTAATTCCTCCACCCTCATGGCTATTTTTGCAATAATGACATGTGTAATGAATTTTACCATCAGTATCGCAACCTTTAAAAAAAAAAAAATGTGTTGTCCCCACGGCTAGAAGGTGATTATCGTTCAGATGATCTATTATTGCTATCCATCCATGTATAAATCCCAATTTTCTGTTTCCCATAAAAGATAAATGAATTAAAAACAAGAAAAGAAGAGAAATTGACCAGAGTTTGAAGAAGTTAAGAACTCGAGAACATTGTCATGAAACTAGTTGGTGAAAATAAAGATGTGGGAGAAGTTAACATATCATACATGTTTCCAGTGCCAAATCAGGAATCCTAAAGATGGAGGACTGCAGTCATGCCATAAGACTGTAAAAAATAAGACATTACAAAATTCTGAAATTATGTATATGTGCCGGTCCTTATGTATATGAAAAAAATAATAATAATAATAATAATAATAATAATAATAATAATAATAATAATATATAAACACTTAGAGTTGAAAGTTGCTTCTTTTCTTTTCTTGGATGTGTTGCAAACACAGGACCTAGAAAAAGCCAAAAAGATTTATCTACCAATCATTTATTTTGGATGGTTATATTGGCACTAATTTTTTTATTTTTTAAAATCATCACTTTCTAATTATATTAAAGTTTTTACACTTTTTTATTATTATTGTATATATGTTATTTTCTTTTTTGTATTTTATTCTTAATATTTTCTTAATTACTTGACACATCTTGACTTTGATGACAATTTCAAACTAAATAATTCATTAGGAGGGCGTAAAAGACTTTGCCGGTTTGTCATACATTAATTTAATTTATGATTTGTTATAAGACTTTTTTTAATCACAAATTCATACAATAAAATATTATTCACGTATACCAAAAAATTTCTTTACTTTTTAACAATGTCATTCTCCAAAAAATTATTATTAAAAACTCTATTTTTCTACAATAATGATTCTCAAATAGGCTCTTAATTTAACTTTCATACTTTTAAATAAGTAATAGAACGACACTTTTGACAAAATATTTGCTCTGAGTTGCTAAGCATTCGAAGTAAAATATGTTAGTGATAAAAGACTGCGAATAAAAATTAAAATAAATGCGATAATATGTCAAGATTGAGAATCTTTAATGTAATTACAAAAAGTAGGAACAAAATAAAATATATTAGCAACTTATATATTTTTCAATTTCTTTAAAAACGTGACACTCTGTATTTCAACCCCCCACCAACACACGCACACAGAGACAGAGTTTGCACTCAAGCGCCTCACCACTCCATCATAGATTAGTAAAACTGTAGTCTACTCATAAACCGTGCATATTCCGGGCCACCAAATCAGATTCCGGTCAAATCTTCCTACTCCGGCTACCCATTGAATTTCCCAGATACGATTGCAGGCTTGTTTAATCCAAGAAATTAAGTAAACCCATGTCATAAAAATCGAAACTTTCTTCGTTTATGTAAAAAAATTATGGATTTTGAAATGTGAATCAAGTGAATTTGATAAATTCAAGAAAATGGGGTCTTGTTTCAGCGTTGAAGAAGAACCGCAACAGTCCAAGAACAAATCTCTAAGTAATAAGCCAGGTACACTTCGGTTTATAAGATTTTATTTCAGCAGTCCTAATTTGGTTAGAATATTGTAGTTGTGCAAACTTAATTTCTTATAATTTAGTGAAGTAGAGGGTAATGATTTTATTGGTATTTTGGCAAGTCCAAGGTTCCCTAATCTGAAACAGTGAATGGATTTAATGGCATTGTCATATGATTCATTGGAGAAGTTTTTTGTAGTTATTAAGAAATCTGTTGAATCTTTTTGGATCTTATTTTGATTTACAATTGGTTGTAGATTTGGAAATGCAAATTAGATCTTATTAATTATTTCATATAGAGAATGAAAGGAAAAAAGTCTTAATTTTTTTCTTTGCACAAGTTTTTACTGAGTTATCCCTTAGATTGTATCATTTGTCAATAAAACATCATCTTCATCCTTTAAGAAGTCTTAATCTTGGAGAAGTTGTGGCTTTTGTAGAAATATCTCTAGATCATTGTGTTAGTAAGCTTTCATCCACATAGATGGTTTTTACCTAAATAACATTAGTGCTGATTCTAACTAGGAAATTTAAGTGCTGACTTTTTTGTTAAATATTTTCAGCTGGATGTGGAACTGCTGATTCTTCTGCCAAAGGGGACTCTGCGCTTGTTAATAAACCAGAATTACAAAAAATTGAAAGGAGTATTGTGGTAATTCCCAAAAATGTGAAGGATCTACGTCAAAATCCAGGAAATAGTAACCTTGATATCTTCACATATGAAGAGATGAAGTTGGCTACCAAACACTTCCGACCAAATCAGGTTCTTGGCGAGGGTGGGTTTGGTATAGTCTATAAAGGAGTTATAGATGAGAATGTGAGGCCTGGTTATGAGACAACACAAGTTGCCATCAAAGAGCTTGACCCTGAAGGTCTACAAGGGGACCGAGAATGGCTGGTAATTTGCTTGGACTTTCTTGATCAAATAGTTTATTGATGTCTTTTAAGTGTCATTTTAGTTGTCCTTCATTTATAGAGTTAGAAAGGTGAATATTTTGCATTCATGGAATTTGTTGAAAATGGGAATGAAATGGAGTGAATTTTTTATAATCAATTAGAATTGCTTCTGTTGGTTCCAAATTGATAATCTTGTTTTTTGAGAAGTGTTAATTCAGGTTTTACTATGTCTTGTCAACTGCCGTGTTTCAGGGTAATCCTTTTGCTGTGCTGGTGACTCAAAAACTTTAGGCCATTTAGGATTTGTTCTATCAGATTTTATTTTTTTCTCATTTTCTTTGGAAATTAGTCTTTTTGGCCTATCTGAATTTAGCTTGAGACCCAAGTACACAAATTATATTTAGCTGAATTAATTCTTTCTTTTGTTCTTCAATACACATGCTGTCACTTGAGTGAAATCTTCAACAAAGGGGAAGCAGTTTGCTAGCAGTAAATGAATTCTCTGTTCTTTTTCAAGTGAGAAATTGACTAATCGTATATCTTTAAGAAGATTGAAGAACTACTGCATTTTTGAGTGCTACCTACTAAATGTTTAACAAGGTAATTAGCTCATTTGAATGGGCTAAGGACGAATATGATAGCATGGCTAATACCATTCTCAGTGTGTCTTAATTATCCTACTTATTTACCCGTGTATTATTAAATATTTTTAACTTTATGCATGTTTTGGTGGTTGTATATGAACAATCTTCCTCTCAACTCATCCAAAATATAGAGTATTATAATTATAGACAAGAAAGATTGACACAATCTCACTTTTCTTCTTTTATACACTTGTTCCCTACTTACTAAATACACGATTGAGATATCTTCCCCTCCTGAAATCTTTCTCCGCTCGTAGTTCTTTACGTAAGAAGAAACTGCTGAGAATATAGGATTTGTGAAATCGTCTCTATTTTATTTTTGTTCACTGTTGAGGACATGGGGCAGTAAGCTGAATAAATTTTATGTATAAAAAGGTTCACACCATTTGGGGTGCATAATCGAACTTTTGTCTTCCTGCTTTATCACATTATTTCTTGTCAGTTCCTGTTGTAAGCTTAGAAATTTATCATCACCTTCATATTTTTTTGAGCTGGTAGTCTATTGTTGCCCCGTAGATTCTCCACTGGAGTTCTCTACCTGCAACATTTCTTGTACTCTGGTAAATTCTGAAGTTTAAGATGCGTAATATGCATAGTGCCGTGTATATTGGCTGGTATGCGTAGCTTGAGGGTTGTACTGGTACATAACACTTCAGAAAGGAAATTGGATAAGTTTGGCATGTGTCTACAATTTAAGACTTCATTGTAATAATCTCTTATTTGTCACTATGTGTAATAAGTTCCCTTTGCTTTAGTTAAGAAAGGATCATCTGTTCCTCACTGTTGATGTTTTTACATGCAGGCAGAAGTCAATTACTTGGGGCAACTTCGCCATCCTAACCTGGTGAAATTGATTGGGTATTGCTGTGAGGGTGACCACAGACTGTTGGTCTATGAATATATGGCATCTGGGAACTTGGAGAAACATCTCTTTTTAAGTGAGTAGTAAAATCATTGTTATCTGAACCAGAAATAGAGAATTGATACTGTGTTAGACTATCCTTTTATAACTTATTCGTAGATTCTTATTGTATTGCTTATTTATCTACAAATGTTACAAGTTCAGAGTGCATTTAAAAATAACTGTCCAGGACAAGCTTTGTCCTAAAAATGTCATGTTAGAGGTAAAATGTTATGCAAGCAGTTCTTTTCCTTTGCAGAATTTAGCATATTAAATTGACTATTTATCTGTACTATTATTTTTGAATTTTTGCCTTGCAAAACTAGTCTCCTTTATCATCGAGCTTCATCTTAATAAACTGTATTATTTGTTTTATGCTTGTAGGAGTTCGTGCCACTTTAACATGGCATATCAGAATGAAGATTGCTTTGGATGCTGCAAAAGGGCTTGCTTTTCTTCATGCTGTGGAAAAACCTATTATTTATAGGGATTTTAAGACTTCAAATATTTTACTAGACGAGGTTAGTCAAATGCCATTCGGTTCTGAAATTGTTGTATTGTTTATAAGGGAATCCACTTGGTCGTGCTTCTATAGTAAGCACCTCTTATTCAGAACAACACAAAATAAAATAAAGTACAAAGGAAATTTAAAACTTCTTGCAAACAGTACTTCTACTTGATTAATTTGATCTGGGAAGATTCCCCCACAATAATGAGATGATTGAATAATTGGTACATGCTTCCATCTCTCTCTCTCTCTCTCTCTACCTAACTTTTTAGGGGTCATCGCTGATATCTTCATCAGTACATTCAATTCAAATTTGATAATAAATAAAGATATTAGTTCAAACGAAATTGACAATGCCATGTGTTTATATACATAAATGCATTGAAATTTATTTTTGGTTATGAGATTCCTTTGGTCCTCGAGAATTTGTATTGAAGTCTCCATGAATCTTTCTAGTGCTGAATTCTATGGAAAACCTGCAGGATTTTAATGCAAAACTTTCTGATTTTGGACTGGCAAGGGTGGGGCCTACTGGAGATCAAACGCATGTGTCAACTCGGGTTATGGGTACTTATGGTTATGCTGCTCCTGAGTATGTCATGACCGGTGAGTCTTTTAGCTGACTGCAACTAAAATTTCTACTCAAAAGCCCCGTATTCTTTTTGGCATAATGCTCTTTTAATATCAAATTGCAACAAAATATGAAATATCATCAAGGGCACACTTGAGCCTGTATGGTATTAGTATTACTGTTCTCTTACATTAACTTTGCAGAAACTTTGGAAGTTGATGTTTTATTTGGGTTCGTCGTTACTTGGCTCTGGGATTAGAATCGCTATTATATAAGTTGCTAGCAAGATATACTGGTAGAAAAAGATGAACTGTGGAATTTACTTGTGAAAGACATGATTGCTTTTCGTCCGGGTTTTTTTTTTTCATTGTAAGCATACAGCATCGACTTCTAATCTTTCAGATAAGACGCTATCTCTTGGGTGTGATGTTTGTTGATTTTGTGGAAATAAGCATATTCAAGAAATCACTTCATAGACCTGTTGTCCAGTGATTTTCTTTGCTTTGATTTATTTGATGTTTAATTCTCTATCGTAGCTGAAATGCCATTATGATTTGCAAATTTATTGTGGTAATATGATGGATCAGGACATTTAACTGCTAGAAGTGATGTTTATGGTTTTGGAGTTGTTTTACTTGAGATGCTGATTGGAAGGCGAGCAATGGATAAGAGCAGGCCTAGTCGAGAGCATAACCTTGTCGAGTGGGCTCGACCACTTCTAACCCAGAGTAAGAAGCTCTTGAGAATACTGGATCCAAGAATTGAAGGGCAATACACAACTAAAATTCTTATGAAAGTTGCCAATCTTGCATACCAATGTCTCAGCCAAAATCCGAAAGGAAGGCCTGTAATGAGTCAAGTAGTTGAAATACTCGAAACCCTTTTACCACAAATAGGAAGCCGAGACGAGGCAATTGTGCAGAGCAGTGGTGGATGTGTAACCCTTTACGAAGTTCCAAAAATCCTTCCCGACACTCCAGAGGAAAAGAAGAGGGGTTCCATCAAAAGTGATAATGATGCCCGGAAGCATAAACTGGCCAACGGAAGGAGCAAAAGTGAGCCTTCAATGGAGCACGATCTATACAGTCCTCCGCATGATCTTCTAGACGAGATATTGCCCTCTACTGCACATTGAAGTCTGCGTCTAAGCAAGGAACACTACGAATTGTACAACATCTGCAAAACAAGCGAATACATGTTTTCTTGTCCAATTGTTCCTTTTTCTTTGCAATCCTATTTCCAGAAGAACTTGAGATTCTTGAAAGCTTCCGCCTGTAGTAAATTTTTGGTGAGCGAATCTACAGTACCATGCTACAATTGATCCCTTTCGACACTTGGTATCAACTCCTATCTTTATGCACATTATGTTGCTTATGCTATCATTTCTCTCGTTTACTTGTATTATAGCAGGCAGATATTAGAAAAGAGAAACGTGTGATGAAATTTGCTAAATTCATGAAACGGTATGTATGATCTTGAATACTAATGCTCAGTATGTAGCGTCGAATCCTAGTCAAATCATGTTTCTTTTTATATGGTCCCACATGAACAAATGGAGCCACAGTAACATCATTTTCTTCGCAGTAGAAAATATTAATCTTGATTCTTTAGTTACTTGATTGTTTTCAAATGTCTCATATTCATCATCAATCAGTAATAATTTAATGCTAGATTCCCCATCATGTTACTTTTGTAGCATAATTACCCCTTAATCACATAGTCATGGATACATTTTTATAAATTTTCAAAAATTGTTGTAACACTTGTTTCAATGACACAAATCTTCAATCTTGGTGATTGAAAAAGAAAACACTTACTCCACAAACTAACAAGTCCAGCAGTGGTTTTTGCAAAATAGGTATAACACAAAATGACAAAAGAAAGAAAACAAACTGTGTAGTCGATTTTCCATTGTTTCCCAAAAAACGAGTGTGAACCGCTGTTCAGAAATGAGTAGACATATCGAACTGGTTTTGTACTATTGGCCTTCGTCCCAGGATCACCACGGTTGCATGTTTGAGATCTTAAATCACTGCCCAATTGCTCCGACTCATCAGAAACAGAATCTTCAAGTGCCTCAAGAAATGAAGGCACAGTGAGCTTGTCTGTAACAAGGAAAAAGAATGAAGTCAATCAACCATACTTCAGCTGCAATAACTTTGAAAGCAGCAGTATACAAATCCCTGGATGATCTTAGTGATGGAATTCAAAAGTGGACTTCGTTGTATTACTAGCACTAAATTAAAGCTTAAAAGCTGTGTCCCACACAGCCAAAATCCTCGTAACTACAGGTGCCATTAACCCAACAAATCAACAATGTTGTTAGCACATTAGAAGTATAATATATTATCTAAAGAACTGAAGGGCAAGCGTTAGAATATGGATATACAGAGTTGTTCATCAAGGGCATGCATATAGAGAAAAGTTCGCTCTCAAAAATAAAGGACTTGAACAACGGTGTT